TGCCTTTCCCCTTTGACATCAAGACCCTCATCATCGCCACCACCATGGGCTTCATCTCTTTCCTGGGTGTCGTCCTCTTCTGCCTGGTGCTGCTGTTCCTCTGGAGCCGGGGCAAGGGCAACACGAAGCACAACATCGAGATCGAGTACGTGCCCCGGAAGTCAGATGCAGGCATCAGCTCCGCCGACGCGCCCCGCAAGTTCAACATGAAGATGATATGAGGACGGGCGGGGGGCAGGGACCCCCGGGCGGCCGGGCAGGGGAAGGGGCCTGGCCGCCACCCGCTAACTCCCCGTCCTTCCCCTCCTCCATTCCCCTCCACGTGGTCTCTTGCCCCTCCGCCCACCCGTGCTGTCCCACAGCCCTCGCCACCTGCCCTCTTTCTACCAGGACCTCAGAAGTCCAGGCCTGGGACGCCACCTGCACAGGGCGCTCACTGACAGGCTGGAGTTGAAAGCCGGCAGACCGACACGCGGCAGAGTCAATTCAATAAAAAAGTTACGAACTTCCTCTGTAACTTGGGTTTCAATAATTATGGATTTTTATGAAAACTTGAAATAATAAAAAGAGAAAAAAAACTATTTCCTATAGCTAGTCGGAATGCAAACTTTGACGTCCTGATTGCTCCAGGGCCTCTTCCAACTCAGTTTCTTGTTTTTCTCTTCCTCCTCCTTCTTTTCCTCCTTACTCTTCTCTTCCCCTGTGGGGAGGGATCACTCAGGAAAACAGGAAAGGAGGCTCCGGCCCCATTTGCCTGCCCCCGCCAGGATGCCATGGGGCAGGCAGGTGGCGGCCCGGCCCAGACCTGGGCTGGCTGTTTGCAGGGAGCAGGTGGAGGGACAGGGCTGCCAGGCTGCCAGGCAGCACACTGCCAGGGGGTGAGAGCCAGGACTCTGGACAGGGGCTGGGGTCCTCCTGGGGGACAGCACAGCCAGTGGAGAGAGCCAGGGGCCAGAGGTAGGACTGACACCTAGTCTCTGATCCAGCTCTGCTGCTCACTTGCTGTGTGGCCTCAAGTAGGTCATTAGCCTCTCTGGGCCTCAGTCTCCACATCTGTACAAATGGGAACATTACCCCCACCCTGCCTACCTCACAGGGCTGTTGTGAGGGATTGATGAGATGATGTATGTGGAACACCTTGTAACCTGTAAAGCGCTGTGCACACGTGCGGGTGACTGTTCTCATTATGGTCATTGTTATCTTTGTGGGGCTGGGCTGGTGAAGGGACCTCCATGAGGGCAGGGCTGGGGGACCAGGGACCGGGCTGCGGCCAGAGGCATTGGCTGGAGAGATGGGCCCTAGACCCACGGGGAGTCCTGCAGCCTGTGAGCACCAGAGATCCTCCCACCCCTGGGCTGGGAGCCGCCCTAGGGGCTGGAGGCCCCTCAAGTGTTGGCCTGGACCTATACAAGCCTTCTTTCTGTAAGCATTTATTGAACACCTACAGTATGCCGCTTCACACATAAAGTGCCCAGTCAGTGGGGGCAGGAGGCTACCAGACCCAGGTCGCCACCCAGCTTTGCCCTGTCTTCTATCGGGCCGTCCTCTGAGCCTGTCCTGGACTTCCAGGGTTCAGGGTTCGAGGCTGGAATCCACCTGCACATGAGCTTGGCAGGAGGGCCAGACAACGCCTGCCCACCCTCCCCAGCCCATCCCTCCCAAACCACACCTGACGCTCCAAGCTCAGCCCCAGAGAGTGACGCCCCATATAACAGAGTGGGACGTGCCAGGCAGTCACCTTGTCACCTTGGACCTTCCCCAGAGTCAGGGGCCTTGGCTCGGAAAGCTGGGCCGGTGGCTCACCAGCAGCCATGTGCTCCGCACCGCGTCTGTTGGGAGGGAGGCCCAGCGCCGGGGAGGCCGGGTCTTCTCGAGTTCCTCTTTCTCCCTGGGGACCCCTTGGATTCTGCCCCACAGTTGGCCCAGCATGGCCCTGCTCCCCACTTCTCCTCACGCTGGAGGAGAGCCAAGCAGAGCAGGAGCCACGGCACAGACCAGGCTGAACACAGCAGGGAGCACTAGAGAAGTCGGCCCTCAGCGGAAAGAAACTTCCAGCATGCAGCCTTTCCAGTCAGGCTCTTCCCAGGCAGGGCTCGCGGCCCCACCCAAGCTGGCAGGAACGAAGTAGCTGCGCCTAGCACCTTCTAAACCAAGCCTCTGTGGGAGGGCGTGTGGGCAGAGTCCAGCGTGGCGCTGGCACTCACTCATTCATTCGATCTGAAGACATGCCTGAGAGGCTGCTCTGCTTCTGGGTCCCGCTGATGCCGTTTGGCCATGGCTGGGCCAGCCTTTCCTCACCCCCACCCCACGCCCCCGCCACCAACCAGGCCTGTCCCTGGCTCCGGGGAGCGCTCCAGCCCTCTGAACCATGGTGGTATCCCTGGGGAAGAAACGCGATCCTCTCCCCATAGGGTCCTGGAACACGGGGTGCAGAAGGCTGAGGCTCCCCGGAGCAGCCTGGACTGGTGCTTGTGAGGCTGGAGGTGGGTTTGAGTTTGAGCTCCAGTTCTGGTGCTTGCCAGCTGGGTGGGACTGTGACTTCACTCCTCTAGCCTCAGTCTTCGCACCCATAAAATAAAGACGGTCTTACTAGCCTGGGTCGTTAGGAGGATTAAATGAGGGAACACAGGTGTGTTTGTTGAGTGGGGCGGTCCCTGGCACTCAGTGATCCTTCTATGAATGGTAATGGTGATGATAATCCAACTCTAATACGGATGCAGAGGATGAGGACCAGAGAGGGTGGTAGCTTATCAGAAGTCACACAGCTTCAAAGTGACAGAACCAGGGCCTGATTCCAGACTCCTAGAGCCACAGGCTTCTAAACCTGGCTCAGGGCTTCCTAAAGGCACGCCAGGCAGGAGATCACTTTGGGAACACACAGTGCAGGGAGAGGATTCCTAGGGTGTGTGAGTCGCCTGTATGCAATGAGGGGCCAGTGCTGGCATGTGAGGCTTCAGAACCCGGCGGGCCTGCCCACCTCCCAACAGAGACCAGCGCACAGGCCTGCATCCCCCAGCCCTGGAAGCCCCGGTTGGCACTGTCCTCCACAAAAGACAGCTTGTGGGATTGTGACAATCCCTCTGGGATGCCTCAAGGTTCTGGTAAGAGCGTGCGGGTCAGGGGCCAATTTATTCCTGGCTACTGGAAGGAACTGACCCCCTGAGGAAACTCAAGGACACGAGAAGATCATTAGGTTGTTTTCGGATGGGGGAAGAGGGTCAGGCTGGGGGGTGTGAGTGCCCGACCTCAGCAGACTGGGTTGGCCCCAGCAAAGGAGCCTGGGCCTAGGCAGAGCCCAGGCCGGGAGCCAGGAGGCCTGGGTTTGGTCCCGGTGCAGCCTTCCCAGCTGTGTGGCCTTCCTCTGTGGAAGAGGAAATGACGGCCACCGCTGCTAAGAGCCCTGCCAGACTTAAGGGGACCATCCAGGGAAGCCAGGCTGGAGAAGCTACCTTCTCCCTGGCCTGCAGGCCTCCTGGCCCCCTTGCCCTGGCCCACGCACCTCGGAGCCTGAACCCAGGTGCGGTTTGGGGACCAGAACCTTCCTGGGCCACCCACATTCCCCCGCAGGCCTTGTGGCCCCCTGGCTTAGATCCCATGGGGTTGTGGAGTCAGGGTGTGTTGCCACCTCCAGCCCCACAGGCAGCGGGCTGCTCTGCTCGCCCTTGTCCGGGGCCACGGGGATGAGGCTGGAGGAAGCGACTGGGGGAAGCAAGATGCCGAATCCTGAGAGTCCAGCGCACTTTCCAGGAGACCAAGACCAGAGCAGCCTCCTGGACTGCTCTTTGTGAGACGGGTGTGCCTTGAAGAGAAAGTTGAAGACTGGGAACCCACCGCAGCCCGCAGTGGGCCCTGCCAAGGACAACACAGGAAGGTGAGTATTGGAGGGAGCAATGAGCACCAGGACCCCTCCTGGCTCAGCCCTCACAAGTCAGAATGAATACAAGGCTCAGAGACGGAAAGAAACCCGCCTAGAGTTACACAGCAGAGTGGCAAATGGAACAGGGGCTTTGGAGTCAGGCAGACCTTGGTCCAAATCCCATCGCCACCACTGAGTCCCATATGCAGAGTAGGGTCAAGAACCCTATGCTTATAGGGTGTCTGGGAAGATTAAAGACAGTGTTGTAAAGTGCGCCTAATGGTGCGTGGCCCTGTTTGGGGTGCACTCATGACCACTGTTGTCAGCGTGGCACCCTTAGGCACATGCAGCTCCCTCCCTCTCCGGTGGCTGAACTCAGGGCCGGCAGGGTGACAGTGTGTGCAGGACACGCGGGAGCCAAGAGAATTGGAGCTCCACGGCCGTTGGGCTGGAAACCAAACCTGGGCCTGCCCTCTGCTTTGCCACTGGAGGCCTCAGGGCTGCGGGGGAGGGTGGGAGCAGACTCGGGCAGCGCCGTCTGTCCGTCCAGTCTGCCCAGGGCAGAGAGCAGCCGTGCCCTGGGGCTCTGGAGGACAAGGCTACACCCTGTGTATGTCGGGCGTGATGATAGCACAGAGAGAGAACAAGGGAGAAGGAGTCAGAGGAGCAGTGTAGACTCCCAGCTGGTGTCAGGAGTCCCTAGGGAAGCTCTGTCACCAGCTGGACAAGGGCCCTTGAGTACTTTAGGGCCTGGAGTCAGGATACGTGAGGCACAAGGAGTAGGGCAACACGGACCAGCCGGAGTGAAAGGATCTAGTGGAGCACTTGCACAAGCCGGTTCCACGGACCGGCGTCTTTCCCGCTGCTCTCCTCAATCTGGTGTCCTCTGAGGACATACCAGCCGGTACAGGACGGAGCGTCCCCCCCAGCTCCCATGTAAACTGCCCCAGCTCCAGCCTCCTTCCTGTCTGGCTCGCAAGAGAAGCAAAAGTCAGATTGGCCACCCACCAGCCAATGGGTTGGCTGCCTTGAGGCTGGGTGCCCACCCCCTGCCCAATCAGCTGTGGCAGGAGCTCAACCTTGCACAAGCCAGTTTGATGAAGACGGTGCAGAAAAGATGAGGGACTATATCAGTTATCTATTTTTGCATAACGACACCCCAAAATTTAGTGGCTTAAAACAATAACCATTTATTTGTCCCCAGTTCTGCCACTTGGGCAGGGCTTGGTGAGGACATCATCTGCCGTGTGGGTGTCGATGGGGGAGACCTGGCTGGAGCTGAGGATCCCAGGTGGCCTCTGTGTGTCGCTCGGCGGGGATCCCAGAAGGCTGGAGGACAGCGGCTTCTCTCTTTGCGCCTGGTCTCTGCAGGCTGGCCGGGCTTCTCCACAGGGGCGCTGCGCTCCAAAATGGCCAGAACGGAAGCCTCGCCAGGTCCCACAGCTCCCATCGGCTGCATTCCGTTGGTCACGGCAGGTCACAGGTGCCCCAGAGTCGATGGGAGGGAGGACAGTTCCCACCTCTTGACAGGAGGAGCTACACAGGCACACGGCAAAAGGACAGGCAGGATATGAGCGTCGCTGCAGCCACCTTCGGAAGCTACCTTCCATAGGGACCGCTGCTGTCTCATGGCTTTGAGGGACTGTATAGGCTGCGACAGCTTGCCCAGGAGCAGCGGGCTTAGAGTGGCAGTGCCCGGCCCAGTGACCTATAGGTGGTAAGTAAAGAGCCAGCACTTGAACCCAAGTTAGCCGCCCTCTGCTCCAGTGCCCTTCCTGTAGCAGGCAGGCGCCGGAGGGCGGTGCCGAGGAAGTCCAGCAGCAGTCACCACGCCGCTGTTCAGCAGGGCCTTGGGCCAGGCACCAGGACACGCGCTTTCCTACTGGAGCCTACCATGAGGTGGGTCTAATATGCTCTCTCTCAGATGCGAACACTGAGGTTCAAGGAGGAGAAGTGATTTCCCAGGCCACCACCGGTAGGGCTGAAGTGGGGACTCATACTCAGGCTCCATACTTCACTGCATAGAAAGCGCCAGACTGGGCCCCTCACTTGGAACCACTCCAGACTCAGGCTTCTCATCTCGGGAGTGGGCACAGCCACATCAGCTCCTGCGCCCCCCCCCCCCCCCCGGTGGACTGGGATGGCGAGTGAGCTGTGGCACGGGTAGGCAGGCACATGGGGCAGGGGCAGGATCAAAGCTGTCGCCAGTCAGTTCCCCGCTCCCGCTCCCAGTCCACCTGGCAGCTCTGTGAGGCCCTCAGACTGGAGTATAAGACACAGGCCCAGCAGCCTGTCTGAGGGACTGAGGCCAGCGGCCATGCAGCGCATCCCTGGGAGGACAGAGCCCTCCCCTGGGAGCTCCAGCCTCTAACGGCCTGCCGGAGCTGACTGCTCAGCCTGTAAGGGGGTTTGTCGCCTCCCATAGACCTATCGACGGCTTTTCCTGCATCCCCAGCCCAAGCCCGTCATCATGCCAGGTGGCAGTGCTGGTGTCTGGGAAGGCTAGAGTGGGGACCTTGGGGGCCATGGAGACCAGGGGATGCCCCAGTGCTCAACCCAGCCCCGCTCCTCACCCAGCTCCTTCATACCCCAGCCTTCACGCCCCCAGGAGGCTTCTCGTGCCCTGGATGCCACCCCAGTGGGGATGGGGGCCTGACTCTCCCTTGCCCTCCCTGGACTGTGACGCACCCCTCAGCCCCATCTGGACTGTGACACACCACCGTGGAGGCAGCCCATCCTAGGGATGGCGCAGAGGAAAAGATAAAGGCGGGCAGGAGGGAAGAGAGCTGGGCTCTCCGCACCATGCCTGTCGGTTCCCAGGGGCCAGAACGCAGCCCAAAGGCAGTGATCAGCATGACCGTCTCCCAATTTAAGATGAGAAACACAAATCTCAGAGAGGCTGAGCCACTGCCCAGGGTTGCATAGCTGAATCATGCCACCTTAGAAAGCACAAATGCTCCATGTGTGCTTCTATTTTGTAGATAAGGAAACTGAGGCAGGGGGAGGAGAAGTGACAGGTCCAAGGTCACAAAATGAATGAGTCAGCAATAGCACCAGCTCTGACGCAGCTGAACGGGGAGGTGGCAGCAGAGACAAGCACCACGGCATCCAGAAAGCCGTCCCATGGGAACACAGGTCAGACTGGCCGGGCACCCAGTCCCAGCAGGGGTACAGCTGGAGACCCTGACTTTGCTGTCTGACTTGCAGACATTTACATTGCTCGTTAGAAAAATATGGCGTCGTAAAGAGGAGAGACGTGGGCACGGTAAACCCCCGTCCCCTCTGTCGTCTGCCGGCCCCAGGGCCTCTGTCAGGACACGCCAAGGGCACAGGAGGGAGGCCCGGGCAGGAGGTGTGCACAGTTGCCCCTCAGCGCCTCCCGGAGCCAGGCCTGGGTGAGCCTCCCACGCCTGGGTCTCTCCTGGGCTCTGTGCACAGCCCCGCAGCCCCGTGGGAGGGGGGGGTGGCCTTGGTCAAGTGCCTGAGCCTCTCTGGGCTGACCCTTCCCAAGGGCCTGAGCGAAGCCTAAACTGACTGGGTGTCCCCCCAATTCCCTTCCATCTTCAGGGTTCACCCCAGGGCTCACCACCCCACCTCAGTGGTATCCCCTGTATCACTTCCCTGCCCTCACACTCCCCTAGCTGAAGTGAGGCACAGTCGCAGCCTGTCAGCAGGACATTCACGGCCCTGCCTTGGGCCCATGAGCCCCTCTTCCCATGCTCATACTGCCCTCACACCGCCGTGCAGTTGCCTGGAACAGAGCAGGAGCCTGCGGCCATCCGCCTGCCCCGCCCTCGCCCGTCCCCCAAACCTCCCTAAGGCGCTGTCAGTTGGGACCTGCAGAGCCCCTAGAGGCTTTGCCATCCGAGCAGCCACCTCCCCTCCATACCTGGAGGTCAGCCCTGTGTCTTTCTCAGGCAGCCTGCCAGTCATCCACCACCTGGGGTGGGTCCCTGCCCCTCTGCCTCACTTTCCCTCTATGTACAGCTGGGGTTGGACAAGGTGGGGTCCAAGAGTCCCACCAGGCAAGACAGCCCCTGAGGAGTGGACAAGACCCTCTGCCCCATGGAGCCACCAGCAGGGAGGTAGGGACCAGTAGAAGACCTGCAGCCAGAGCGCGGGCAGGACTCCCTGGCCACTGCTGGCCGAGAGCCGGAGGACAGCTGCTCCCTTTCTCCTGCGGGATAGCTGGAAGGGACAGGGCCAGTGCAAGGTTGGTGGGCCCCTGCCGCTGTGCAGAGACGGAGGAAATGCTGGCAGTGAGGGCAGGGGAGGAGTTCTGTGTGAGACTGAGAGCTGCAGCGGCGAGGGCAGACCATGACGGATTCCCAGGTCCCAGCTGGGCCCTCCAGCCGACCTCCAGCCCTTCCCCCACAAAAACAAGCTCTCCAAACACTCTCATGGGAAGCAGGTAGATGAGGGGCGGCGACACCTGGTCAGCACCCTGCGACTGCCCAGGGACCCCAGGCAGTGGCAGGCTAGGGGAGACTGCCCTCCATGTAGAGAGCAGGCGGGGAGGTCAGAGGCAGGCACCAGATTCTCAAGGGCCCCAGGCCGTCAGCTGCAGTTCCCCTGGCTTAGGACAAGGAGAATCCACTTTGAACACTTCATCCTTGCCCTTGAAGCCTCCCCTGGGCCAGAGACAGACTCTGCCCTCCTACTGGCTGTCGGTGCCTGTGTGGGAGGTGGGGAGGGTGTGGGTGTCTGGGCAGCTAAGGCAGGCAGTTCTGTAGAGCACCACCCAGGCGACAGGGAGCTCCGGTGGGCCCTTGAGCATGAGAGGCCCAATCCAAACGTCAGAATCCAAAAAGGGAAGATGAGCAGCAGGAGCAGAGGAGGGAGAGGCTGCAGCCCCTCTCTAGGGTGAGTGTGCACACCTCTCTGTTCACACACAGGCCCCCTCCAGCAGGCACACACGTGCACACAGCAGAGCTCGCACTTGTGCAGCCTCACACATTCTCCCACACAGACTCGCAGCAATCTGTGTCCGCACAAACCCTTTCCAAGGCGCCTGCACGAGCAAACACCATCAGTGTGCAGCAGGTAATAGCTGCTACATTGAAACGCGTAAGCTGAACCCGTGCATTGACACTAACACACAGAGCCACGGGGAAGCCCACACCCTCACGCACACAGAGGTCGGGACGTGCACGCACACAGAGGTCGGGACGTGCACCCATGCTGGTGGGCGCTGAGCCACGTCCCAACCAAGCCCCCAAGCTCCGACCATTGGAGCCCTCTTAAAGGCCCCTGGCCCATCTCCATCCTGCGGTCTCTCCTTCCTGGGATCACAGCACGGCAAGGCTGGACTCCGTGTTCAGTGCTCACGCACCCTGCACACATGTGTGGCCCCTTGCACACACTGGTGTGACCGGGGATAGCAGCCTGGAGGCTCACTCTCACCCGCAACTGGCCAATGAGAGTGCGTCAGGCACCGTCTCCTCGGCGACCAGCCGAAGCTGCCTGACCACGGGGAGGAGGGGCATGGCCACGGGGACCCCTACTCACTCGGGACCCTGTGCACTCGACCCCGTTCTTAAAGCATCAGTTTGGAGGCAGGGCTAGGCTGAGGGCAAGAGTGGTAGGGTGCCTCAGAGGCACCAGATACTGAGATGGAAATGAATCCCAGCCACGCTGGTCCCTCTGGGTGGGCTGGGGACAGATGAGCATCCTGGCCAGAGGTGCCATGTGTGGCTGTGAGGAGGCCTGGCTCGAAATCTTCAGGGAGCCTCGGTGACCCAGGCCTATCTCCTCTCTCCAGAGGATTCTGAAGTGACCGCACTTGCTGCCTTTCTCATCCTCAGAGTCCCAAGCTTCTTCTCCTCCAGGCTCATCGGTGTTCTTCCCCCTGCTGGGATGTTCCCTACACTCTCCCCAAGCCCAGTTCTAAATCAGTCCCAGGGTTCAGGGTTTGCCACATGGAGACACATCAAAACACAAAGCATGCCGTGAGGGGAGGCTCGCCCGAGGGGCTGAGTGTCGGGATTTCAGAGCATGGGGACAGGTGTCTGGAGGCAGGTGACCTGGGTCCAAATCCTGGCCCTACCACGTGCCAGCTGTGTGAGTGGGGCAAGGTGCCCATGTAACTTACGAGGAATACGTTAGACTATGCTTGCGAAGCACTGAGAACAGTGTCTGGCACGGAGCAAGTAACCAGTAAATGTCTGCTTCTACTATTAGCATTCTTATGGATTCCTCACGCAGCTTCCAGCCCCCAGCCTTCATTCTGAACGCTCCCAACCATCGTGGGCCAGGTGACTCACGGTGGAGGACCAGGAGTTTGTCCCCGCAACACAGGCAGACCCGTTCTAACAGCAGGTGCCTTGTGCAAAAGCGAGACTGGTCTCAGTGAGGTGGAAATCGAGAGTCGTGGTGAAGACCGGGCATAATGGTCTTCCACCCTGGGAGATGCACGAGCTTCTCTGCCCTCTCTCGGCAGGACGCTATGAACGGCGCGGCTTCTAACAGGCCTCACGTCCGCCGGCTCTCAGCCGGTTGGTTGCAATGGCCACTCTGGGAAGGGCCTGCGGCTCCCGGCCTTGGAGAGAGCCGTCGCCGTTCGTCCTCTGCTCCCACTGGAAGGGGAGGTTGCTCCTCACCAGAGAGCAGGGTCTCAACTGCAGGAAGGGCTTTGCTAAGGGCACCCCAACACTCTCCCCCCACACGCAGTCTGTAGTTACACATTTATCCAGGGCTGCTGCCTGCGTGCGTCTGGAGTCTCACTCTGCTCTGTCTCCCGTGGCCTCCCTCCTGACTGGGTCGGGTTCTAGCCTAGCCCAGCTGCTGCTCCCTGTGTGACCCTGATCAGTTTCCCCTCCCTGGTCTCATTTCCCCCTCTGTAAAGCAGGGCGAGGACTCCTGCTCTGCAGCACGCTCCTCCTCCCCTTTCCCACGTATCCGTCCAACACCTCTTTCGCCAGTCCCGGGACCAGGCACTGGCAATGTGGCAAAGAACAAAACAAGCAAAGCTCGTGCCTTCAGGGAGGCTGGACACCAACCAGGGATTCACTCAGGGGAAACACATTTAAAAATTGTGATCAGAGATATGAGTACCAGGAAGTATAAGGAATCACGCAGGGCAGGACAGAAGCAGGCTCTGTCCTTTCCAAAGTGCTCTCTGACCTGTGTAACAATAGCGACGATGGCCACGGAGTAATCGTAGCTCTCAGCGCGCACGCACACCTTGTGTGCAGACTGGGCCCCACTTCTCCAGCAGCATCTCTTTCAGGGCCTGGACCCAAGTAGAATTGTCCTGAAATGGTCAGCCCAGGGCAAGCAGCAGCCCCCCACTCCCTCATCGCTGCAGGACCTCCACTCTGCCCTGCTTTGCATAATTGGCTTCCAGTGCGCTGGCTGGTGGTGGCTTGGCATACCCTGGTTTATGTCGCTGCTCTACACTGATCAGCCAGCACCCCGGGGCACATTACTGCACTTCTCTGTAAAACAGGCCTAATCGTTCCACTTTGCAGGGTTGTTGGGAAACTTGGAAACAATGCTCGTGGAAAGCACCTGGCTAGGGGATGTGCCCATGGGTGCCAGCTGCTGTCCTTTGCTGGGCCTTCCAAGGAATGGAGTGCATGGCTCTGGGCTTGGATATGTTTTAGCTTTCAGCCAAAACTGTTTGAGTGCTAGGAACAGCAGTCTATTTAAAGCTGTCCTCTAACAAGGATAAGGATATAGAATCTCAGGGAAGCCCAGGCCTGCCTCAAGGGATAGGAGGTGGGGAAGCACTTCTTACCACCAAGCAAGTTGGAGGACATTGGGCTAAATGGGGACTACCCACCATCAACACACCTGATGTGCAATTGTGGGGGGAAGTAGCCCAGGTACAGTGGAAACGCCCGCATAACAAAATGGGGATTATAATACGTTCTCAGCCCCGCTGCACAACTGTCATCAGTTGCGGACAACCAGTCCAGTCCTCCCTGCTTCTCCTGAGAGGAGCAGGTGGTAGGGGCAGGCCTGACTCCCCAGATCTCTGTGCCGAAGAACAGAATGAACAGTCGTTGTTTTGTCTGCTCGGAAGGGCCCCTGTTTTCCCAAGGTGCTCCTCAGCCGCCTCCTATGGTGTGAATGGGAACTGCCCTCTTCTTCCTAGGGCACTTGTCCTGAGCTGGGCTGACCACACCCACACTTCCTTGCTGCTGAGTGGACAAGGAATCAGAACCCTTTCCTAGGATACTGGAACTTGGAACTGGAGAATGTCACTATCGGAGTGAGGCCAGGAAAGGTGAGCCTGGGAGCTGTCGGGAGCCATGTTACCAGTTCACAGAGGATGCAGGGAGGAGCAGAGCCCAGCTAGGCAGAGTCCCTGATTCCGGCTTTTCTCTGTGGTCCCTCACAGCCCAAGGTGGGGTCCCAACACCCCTGGGGCACAGCCACATTAGTGGCTTTGCTGCCACATGCCATGGCCTGCTGATCCCCTCCTTCATTCCCTCCCAGCTAAGTCTACATTTTATCTGAGAGTCTACTCCTCTCACTTCGGTCCTGGCATCCCTCTCTGTCTTAAGGCCAGTTTCAGCAGATTTCTGCCCTTTTCAAACAAAATGCCCTTTGAATATAAGGTTGCAGAGAAATTTTAAGAACCACAATTGCTGAATGAGCTGCCAGGCCTCCCTCTCCCAAACTGAAACCACATGTCTGTGTCTGTGTCTAGACCTAGAGCTAGAAGGTCTGTCATCTCTTTCCTTCAGCACATCTGCTCCACTCTCCTCCATCCAAGCCTCTCCCTCCCTTACTCTCAACACGCACTTAGCAGAGCTTGACGCCCCAGAGCGCAGCCCCTGCCGGGAGCCAGCACACCTTGCATTTCAGTTCCCTGCAACTAACCTCATCTCCGTGCCCTGATTTCAAATTCCCATGAGACACACTCTGATTGGCCGGGTCTGAGTCAGGTGACTTCGGCCTGGCCAATCAACGGGGGCTGGGGGCGGCCGCCACGGAGAACTAGCCGCCCCTTCCTGGCGCGGGAGCGGCGGTGGCGGGGCTGGTCGAGCGCAGGGGGTGGTGACCGCCGCCGGCGCCCAGAGCGGGGCCAGGGACGCCGCGTGCTGGGCCCCAGGCCCGTGGACAGCATCGCCGGAACTCCGGGCACGAGGGAGGCTACCTGTGATAAAGGTCAGCGAAGTCCACCTGGTCCATGAGGGCTTGCTCCCCCGCAAGTCAGGGAGAGAGCGGAGTCTCCGCGGGCCCAGCGGCGGGCCAGGAGGGCGGGCAGGGCGACCCTGTCCCCCAGCGCGAGGCGGCAGCTGCTGCCTGCTGTGCATCCTGCCCGGATATTTCCAGTAAACAAACAGTGACGCTTTCGATGTCATGTTAATTTCACAGGCGCTGCTCTGCTGCCCGTCTCCGCACTCCGCCAGCGCCTCTTGTCAGTTTTATATCGCAGGGGACGCTACCCTGCTCGCAGGCTGCCCGACTGCAGACATAAAACCAAATGGTTCAGAAAGCTCTGGCGAAGGGACGGGAACAACGTGGTGCCCAGACTGGGGGAGAGCAGCTCTGTCCAGGGCCTTACAGTCGACTGGCGCAAGGACTAGGTTGCAGGGCTTAGAATCCACTAGTGTGACTTTGGTCAAGGCTCTCTACCTTCCTGGACCACAGGTTTTGCAGCTATGAAATGGGCATAATGTTGCAGCACTGCTTCTTTGGGACTCTGGGTAATCCTTGCCTCTTAAAGCCCCTTAAGCTTCACAGGAGAATCCAACCTCAGTGGGAAATGGGGTTCCTGCTCCGGCTGTCAGCTGCATAAGCCAGCTAGGCCACAGGGGTAGGGAGCTGGGGACCTCTGCCTCGTCCCAAGCCCAGCCAAGTCAGCCCCTTGGAGAATTTGGGCTTCTTGCCAACATGCATAATTATGAGGTGTCATGCACATCCATGGCTATTCCCATTCTAGACTGAGCTCTCACCTCCTCCTTGCAGGGACCGCCTGTGCTGTAGGACCCCCACTGTGAGCCCTACTCCTGGGCCTCAGTCTCTTCTGTTACCGGCATCCCACCAACACTGCCCCCACCTGATGCCAGCCCACACTGGGAGCTGAAGGGCGACTGACTCCTTTCCTCCTCTGGCCATTCCTACAGCCCTTCTCCAGGCGGGAAGGGACACTTGTGTCAACTGGGCTAGCCCTACCACACTTCTCTCTACCACATGCCCAAGGCCCAGGTTGGATGCTAAGAGGGACCAGGCTGAGTCTAGGTCACAAGCAAGTACAATGACTGCATACCTCCTTATCTGCCACCTACTCCCTGAATAAAGCCTTCACTAGCCTGGAAGGACATCTAGGGGACACTGCAGCCCAAGGGTGGTGACAGGGGTTAGGGGGCTACATCTCAGCCTCTCAGATCACTGTCCAGGAAGGCTCAGAGGCCATCTTCTCTGGGAGCAGGGTTCTGGGGCACCCACATGGCCGCTCACACCCATGCACTCCTGGCGCCTGCTTTTGCTCAATAAAGACGCATTAATGGACTAAAGTGAATTAGAGTCATTAACACTGATATCAGAGGCAGGCAGAGGTGGCGCCTGCCCTCCAGACCCAGCCTGCAGTCTGGGGAACTTGGGCAAGGCCTGCAGCTCTCTGAGCCTCAGGGCCCTCACCAATAAACTGGGACACAAATGCCCCCTCGGATGGCTTCCCATCACCTGCTGAGGTCGGCATTCAAGGCGTCTTGATCTGGCTCTTTCCCACCTCCCAGTCCCTACTGCCCAACATGCAGATTCATGTGCTCACACACCCAGCCGGGGGCCATGTCCCCTCACGCACTGCACACCAGCATGCCTCCAGCCTTCACACACACTCCCGCTGACTGGAAATCAGTCCTGCTTTCTCCCTTCCCCTGCTCCAGACTGCTAACCTCCTCAGCAGCCCTGAAAACCCTGTGCCTAAGTTACCCCCTCTAGGAAGGCTTCCCGGATGCATCCCCACTCCAGCATGGTTCGGGTGGTCTCCCTCTCTGGGGCCACCTAAGGGAACTGCCCACAAGGGGGGTTATGTTCTGGAAAAATTTGAAAGAAACTTTCCCCTTGAGAAATTGCCCAGGAGGGCTTGTCCCTCAGCAAGGCAAGAGGAGAGCAGGCCCAGCTCACCCTGCCGCCAGCAGTGCAGTCCCTGCTCAGGTGTCACCTCCCACGCCAGGCTGCTGCCCGCTTGAGCAAGGCCACAGCCCTGGTCTGTCTCACCCAGGGCCCAGCGCACAGTAGGTTCTTTCCTCAGCTGGGCTCTCAGAGGGGCAAGAAGGGGCAGTGCCAGGTGCTCCGTCCAGCGCCCTTTCTGCAAAGGCATTTGGCAGCAAGGAAGGGCACGGCTCCCTTAAATCCCCTCTGTACCCCACGCTGTCCCTGAGGGCGCCTTTAGAACGACCTAATTTTTACGGATTTTCCTTCTTAATTACAGCCCATGTAACAAATAATAAATAAATGAAGGAGGGAGGGAAGGAGAACAAGGAAGCTGCCAATCTCTCGCTGCCACAGTCCAGGAGCTCTGAGCTGGGACAAAGGCAGGTGGGAGGGAGGAAGACTTTCAGGCTGGAGCATGGCGCTGTCTCTCTCTCTCTCTCTCTCAGTTTCTCTGGTGCTTGGTGACCAGCTGCCCCTGCTACCCCAGCTCTAAGACACAATACACTGGGGTCTGTCCAGGCCACAGAGACCTTTTTGACCATTTGACCACATCAAGCAAATAGAAGCTGTCTAGACCTCTCCCTTCTCTGGCCTCTGGGGAGGGAATTGTCTCCTAAATAAAGACCATCAACTATAATGGGCATTTACAGAAGGCCTTTTATGTGCCGTGCACTCTGCTCATCCACTACTTTTGAACCTCACCCTAAGCTGTTCTACAGAGGGGAAAACTGAGGCCTGGAAGATTAAGTGGTCCTCTGCAAAGAGGATGGTCTGATTGCAAAGCTTGTACTGTCCATTAAACCATACTGCCGGCCACATGGGCAAGCCCACCTGCCCTGAGGATCAACACCCATGCTTGGTTTGAGCATCTCCTGGGGCTTTTGTGCTGTTATCTCTGCTGCCCAGCAAGGGAAACGACTCCCTCTCTTTTGTCTCTCTGGGCTGCATGTGGACAAGGCAGAGCCATGGAATCCTTCCCCTGTCCCACTGCAGGCACCGGGTATGTGGGGATGGTCAGGAGAAATTTTATTGCACGGGCTGTAAAAGCCAAACACAAAGGAGTCCCCACAAAACCCCAAACAAACAAAGAAAAGCTCACATATTTTTAAAGCATGTAATCATGATGGCCGAGTCCTGGTTTCTTTTTTCTTTTTAATTTCAAAATATTAAGGGGATATAAATGTTTTTCTTACATGGATACCTTTTATAATGCTTAAGTTGGGGCTTTTAGCGTGCCCATCACCCGAGTAGTGTTCATCATACCCGGTATGGCAGTTTTTACCCCTCCTCTACTCCACCTCCCCTTCCTGGTTTCCAATGACCTTTACATCTCTTTGTGCCCCTGTGTGCCCATTGTTCAGATCCCAGTTATTAGAGAACTTGTGTTTGGTTTTCCATTCTTGAAATACTTCACTTAGGATAATGGTCTCAAGTTCCATGCAAGTTGCTGCAAAAGACATTATTTCATCCCTTTTTATGGCTGAGTAGTACTCCATAGTAAATAAATACCACACTTTATCTGCTCGTGAATCGATGGGCACTTGGGTTGATTCCACATCTTTGTGATTGTGAATTGTGCTGTAATAAACATTCGAGTATAGGTGTCTTTTTTATAAAATGATTTCTTTTCCTTTGGATTGATGCCCAGGAGTGGGATTGCTGGGTCCAATGGCAAATCTACATTTATTTCTTTGAGGAACCTCCAAACCTTGGCTGTTTTCCACAGCCAAGTCTTGGTTTCTACTCTGTCAAAGTTGCAGCATCTGGTGTGGGACAGGCAGCACCAGTGTTTGCAGGGCTGAGTCACCTTGCCTTCCATTCACAGACTCCTTGAAGAACTGGGCCCTGAAGAAGAAGTTATCCAAAACCCCAGCTCCTCAGGCCAGGGCTGATTTCCTCTCTGTCAAGAGCCCTGTCTCTTAGAGGAATCTGGATTTCTCTGATTTTAGGGGTGGGTGAATTTCTGTCCGCCCTCCCCCACCCCCAAGGCTCTTGGAACAGAAATGGACAGTGGCAGCTTTGACCTCTAGAAGGGTGGGAGGGGCAGCATGTTGCCCCAAGCACATCATTCCTGGCCCTCGCCCAACCCGTGGGCCCAGCCCCACATCAGGCCACGCAGTGAGGCTCTCAGGAGCACCCGGGCGAGCTGGGAGGTGACATCCAGGCAGGGACAGAAGGCAGCCACATAAGGTCTGGCAGCTCATTCATTCATTCACTTGCTGTCAGCGAGCGCCCAGCCGTGCGCCTGCTCCTGCAGGCACTGGGGACACAGTGGCCTTGGACAGCAGCAGCAAACACGTTCTGTGAAGGGCAGATAGTGAATATTTTAGGCTTTGTGGGTCACAGAGCCTCTGTTGCATGTTCATCTTCGTTTTCTTACAAACTTTGAAGAATGCAATAAGTATTCTTTGTTCATGGGCTACACAGAAGCAGGGTGCTGTGTGAATTTGGCCCACAGACCATAATTTGCCAGCCCTGGTCCTGTGCAACACTGTCCAATAGGAGAATAATGAAAGCCACGTATTAAATTTTAAATTTCCAGTAGCCACAATTTAAAAAGCAGACTCTAACAGGTGACATTGATTACAATAACATCATCTATTTAAGCCAATATATCCATAATATTGTCATTGCAACATGTATTCAATATTTTAAAATTAATGAGATATTTTACATTCTTTTTTCATACTAAGTCTTCAAAATCTGGTGTGTATTTTGTACTTATAGCTTATCCTAAATCGGACTAGCAACATTTCAAATGATCAAATAGCCACATGGAGCTAGTGGCCACAATATTGGACAGCACAGGTCTAGTGGAAGGAACAAACAGTAAACAAGATAAAGAAGTAAAATAGGCCAAATATTTGAGGGTGGTCAGCGCTGTGAAGGAGAATAAAGCAGGGAAGGGGATAGGGAGTGCTGGGTAAGAGTTCCTCTGACTCCTGGGCCGGTCCTAGGTCTGGGAATTTCACTCGGGACAAAGATGCTGTAATTACCAGGGAAGCAGGGAAGTCGCCTGCAGTATTGTTGAATCTTCCAGTGGCCAAGAACTGAAAGGCAGCATCACACCCACCCTGCCCAGGGAGGACGTCTTTCCAGCGCCTTGACAGACTCCAGTCCAGCCTCTACTTATTCACCTCCCTCGTGGGGAGTTGGGTGCCTCCCCCAGGCAGCCTCTTCCTCCAGACTGGTGTCTCTGACGTCACCCCTTCCTCCTTCTTCACTTTGTACCAGAGTAATATATTTTTTTCTAAATTTTCTTTATTGTAAATGGTAAAATACAGATAACATAAATGTACTGTCTTAATATTTTTAAGTGTCCAGTTCAGTGGTATTAAGGACACTTACTGTTAGAGTGATATTTTTAAAGAGAAAATATTTTTATGTTAAAATTTTTTGGTAGCTCTCCATTGCTCTTAAGTCGAAGTCCAAAGTCCTTACCATGGCCCACATGGATGCATCACCCAGGGTACTTTTGGCTGCAAGTAACAAAATATCCAGTGAGTACTGGCTTACACCATAAAGAAACATACTGGCTCCCAAAGCGTAAACTTACGTAGGTGGGCCTTAGAGGTGGTTGGTTCAGCAACCCAAAGATAGAATTCCTTCTCTCACCTTTCATTGGCCAAAGTTGAGTCACATGCCCATTCCTTAACCAATGACTAGACCCTTGACCTGAGGTCACGTGGCCAAACTGCACTGCTGGGGGAAGGGCAGGACTGCCACACTGTGTCCACACAACTCCTGCTCTACCCCAGCCTAGCCTCCCAGATCCAGCCTGCTCTGGCCTGCAAAGTGCCCCCTTTGCCTCTGAGTCTTCACACATGCTGTTCCTTCTCCTTGGAACGCTTGTCCCATGCTGTGCCTGCATCCCCTGCCTTTGCCTGGCCATCTTCCCTTGCCCTCTAATCCTCAGGCCGATCATCTCCTCGGGAAGACCATGGCTGGTCTCCCAACCAGGGCAAGGCCTCCGTGAAGAAGGACAGGGACCACAGCCGACTCACTTCCCAGTGCCCAGAGGAGAAGCTGTCGGAACTAGGTGCTCGAGAAGTACTTGTCGAATAGGCACAAGTCCCAGATCTGCCTCTGACCTTGGGCATGACCTTGGCCAGGTCATGGGCACTTCTCTGGGCCTGACCTTGGTTTGGGGATGGGCGTGCAAGGGGCTAAGGCAGGGAAGCAAATCCAGTGCTGTGTGGCCAAGGGCCACCTGCTGCCACTCTGCTCAAGGCAGGGCCTCTGATGCCTGCGGAGGTCATGCTGAGCTGGCTCCACAGCGACAGCTCAGAGGCTCTAAGAGAGTGGGAGGCAGGGAAAAGCAGGACTTAAATTCCATCAGACGCTCACAGAGC